CTACAATGCTACATTAACTATTCTTTCAGTATTTAGTTCACAAATCTCCCCAGAGAATATACTGAGTTAAGGGTACCCAAAAAAGTACCCTGATACCAGTATGTCACAGGAACTTTTGGGTACCAAAGTACTTGCAGGTACTTACGGGTACCTAAGTGGTACTATGGCAAGTACCCTGCTGGAAAATCCTCAGTAATTGGGTACCTAAAGGTACTGATCAAGTACTGAATTGGGTACCATTGTATAGTATTTCTAAGTACCCTGTTACCAAATTTTCAGTATGTTCAGGATCGAACCTGATCTTTGACTTTTTAAAATTTTTTCTTTTTCTTGAGATAATTTAATAGATTTTTTTTACTTTATTCAATTTAATTTTTTCAATTCCAAAAACTTAGCAGGAACAATGTCGAGATCCGACTCAACTTGAGTTGGCCGTAGACCACTTCAGGGTAGTCCAATCTTAATTTACGACCAAGCTCGGCATTTCCTCGACTAAGAAATAGTCAAGAAATAATTTAGAAAAAACTAGTATGAAAATTGATTATTTTCTTATGATTTATCGAGTTATTTATATAGAGCCGTAAGTAAAAAAGAAAACGGTGAATGAATAGTCGCCACACAGAACGCGAAAAATTTAGGATACCCTGTCGAGATTTCCTCAGTGAAGTTACAGACTTGTGTATCCATGCAGGTACTTATTCAGTGAATGTACTTTTACGGGTACCCCAAGCAGTACATACATCAGTAAAATTACTGAGAATTTTCAAAGTACCCATATTGGGTACCCTGCTAGAGCTTTCTCAGTACATGGGTACCCTGAGCTCAGTACTTTCTCTAGGGCTGCCTCAATAATATCATAGTTTTAAATAAGTAAAACTTCTCTAATGTGAACACCATCGAGACCAACCAAAATCGTTCAGATTAACAGGGCGATCACTTAAGAGGGTTCCAGCAAAAAGAAATCAATACATAAATTCCAGTACTCGTTCCATATTTTCGAGTATTTTTTATTTGATTCACTAGTTTTTTTTACTATTTTCAAGAGATTACATATTATTATGCTTTAAAATTTCCTGATTGATCATCAAGTTCTTCAGCAACTTTTCTTGCATATTCTTGTAATACTGAAACAGATATAGGAATATTTTTGGTTCTTTGTGCAGCAAACCATTCATAAACAGTATCATTAATCGTTTGACTAAAATCATCTTTCAGCTTTCGTTTCATTTTTTTTTGTTTTGATTTGTTTCATAATCATTAATATATTCGTTTTGTCTTTTGAGAATGTTTGAAACAGCACCGAGAGACTCTTGGAACTTGTCTTTTATTTCACGATGAGATAAACCACGTTCTTTTTCTTTGATGAGATTTATCTTTTGTTCTAGATCAAGTTCATTTCGC